TGAGAAAGTGTGGAGAAAGGAAAAAATAACAACTCTTTATTAAAGGATATATGTGTTTTGGCAGAACAATGAAAAAAAAAACAATCAAACAATAATCCTATACCCAAAAATCCCCTTCAAACAAAGAAGTAAACAGATCAGTTTGCATTTTTTTGGTGCAATTGGAACCACAGTCAGCAGGGGGCGCTGTTGGATCACTGGAGGAGCAGAGCCTGCAGTGTTCTCTGATGTCCAGCAGGGGGCGCTGTTGGATATGGCGGTTGCCATGGGGGTGTCCCTGGAGGTGTAGGAGAAGCAGAAAATGGAGATTTTCCCTCCCACACCGAGAAGGGGAAAGAGGAGAGAAGGGGTTTTTCCCAAGAAAACTCACACTGTCTGTGGCTGGCTGTGTGACTTCCCCTTTTCCTTGATATGTATAAAAAAAAAAAAAAGAAAAATGACTGCCAAAAAACACAGAGCAGAAGAGGGAAAAAAGGGTGACCTCCTTCCCAAAGAGTTCCTCTCTGATGAAGTCTGGGCAGGTCTGGTCTGGGGGTAGAAAACCGGGTACAGGTAAACTGGAACCAAGCGGCCAGGCTGAGAATAAAGCAATTTTGGAACTTTTCCAACCCACACCTTGTCTCAGTTCAGGCAACAATGAAGTGTCCTGTTTCCCAGGAGAGGGAAAAGATAAGAAAACAAAAAAAACCCTCCTCATCCCTCCTCACAGACTTCGAGGACCATCAGTCTGGAATCTGAGTCCCTGACCAGTTCTTTTGTGTTGCTCAATCACCCAAGGCAAGGCTAACCTGTCTATTCAACATCCCTCCCACAAAGTGGGGAAGGGGGGGAAGGAAAACATTCAATGCTCAGTTCCTTTTTTCGTTAGAACAACCAAATGTTTCACATTGTGGGACGGCCATTTCAGCCCAGCACTCCTACAAGAGAACGACTGCCCTTCCACCCAGGAAAGAAAGCCCTGAGTCTGCGTCTCTCCAGTGCAGTTGCTGCGCCACTCTCGGCACTGCACAAAGAGCAAGAGCTTTGTATGCGGGCACCTTTGTTTGGGAGGTATCTTCATCTATACTGAACCCTAAACTTAAAGTAAAACCTAAACCTGAACCTTATGCTAAACCCTAAACCCAAACCCTAACCCTATCCCTTACTCTAACCCAAACATTACTGAAAACCTAATCCTAACCTAACCCTTAACCCTAACCCTAACCCTAACCCCTAAGCCCTAACACTAACCCTAAAACCTAAGCCTAATTGTAAGCCTAAGCCTAACCCTAAACCCTAACCCCCTAACGCTGACCTAACCCTTAACCCTAACCAAAACTGAAACCAGAAACCCTAACCCTAAACCAAACCCAAACCCAAACCCTAAACCATAAATCCTAACCCTAAGCCTAATCCTAACCCTAAATCCTAACCTAACCCTAACCCTACTGAAAGGGACATTGGTGTCATCACAAGGGATTGGTGAAAACAAAGAGACAGCTGTGATGTCACAGGGACATTGGTGACATCCCATGGGACATCAGTGACATCACAAGTACATGGTTGACATCAAAGAGACACCAGTGACATCACTGGGGATATTGGGGGCATCACAGGGACATGGGTGACATCATTGGGTGCCAGTGAGATCACAGAGGACTGTTGAAAACAAAGGGACAGGTGCTGTATCACAGAGAAATCAATGACATCACAGGGGACGTCAGTGATTTCAAAAGGACGGGGTGACATCACAGTGACATGGATGACATCATTGGGGACCAGTGACATCAGAGGGCACTGATGACAACAAAGAGACAGCCATGATATAACAGGGACATCGGTGACATCACAGGGGTCTGGTGACATCACAGGATATCGGTGACATCACGGGGACAAGGTACCACCGCTGGGGACAGTGGTGACACTACAGGGACAGCAGTGACATCATTGTGGACCAGTGACATCACAGAAGACTGGTGAAAACAAAGGGGTAGCCGTGATCTCCCAAGGACATCAGTGACATCACTGGGGACATCGATGACTTCACAAGGACAGAGGTGACATCGCAGAGACACCAGTGACATCATCGGTAACACTGGTGACATCACAGGGGCAGTAGTGACATCATCGTTGACACTGGTGACATCACGGGGACATCAGTGACATCATTGAGGACCAATGGCATTACAGGGGACTGGAGACCACAAAGGGACAGTCGTGATGTCACAGGGTTTTCAGTGACATCACAGGGGACAGGGGTGACATCGCTGGGGACCAGTGAGGTCACAGGGGAATTGTGACAACAAAGAGACAGCCATGATATAACGTGGACATCCATGACATCCTTGGGGACATCGGTGACTTCACAAGGACAAGGGTGACATCACAGAGACACCAGTCACATCACAGGGACATCTATGACATCACTGGGGACTAGTGACCCCACAGGGGAATGGTGACAACAAAGGGATAGCCGTGATATCACAGTGAAATCGGTGACATCCTTGGGGACATTGATGACTTCACAAGGACAAGGGTGACATTACAGAGACAGCAGTGACATCAACGGAAACATTGGTAACATCACGGACAGGGGAGAGCAGTGACATCACAGGTGTCATTGGTGACTTCGCAAAGACATTGGTGACATCACAGAGAGACCAGTGACATCACCGGGGTCATTGGTGACATCAAGGTGGTCTGGTGACATCACAGGGACATCGATGACATTACAGGGAAATGGTACCACCACTAGGGACAGTTGTGACATCGCAAGGAGAACAGTGACATCACAAGGACATTGGTGACATCACAGAGAGACTAGTGGTAACACCCGGGATATTGGTGACATTACAGAGGACAGTGGTGGTATCACAGGGATATCAGTGACATCACTGAGGACCAGTGACATCACTGGGGAATTGTGACCACAAAGGGACAGCCGTGCTACAATGTGGACATTGGTGCCATCATTGGGCACATCGGTGACATCACAAGGACAAGAGTGACATCACAGAGACACCAGTGACATCATTGGTGACACTGGTGACATCACAGCGACATCAGTGACATCATTAAGGACCAATGGCATTACAGGGGACTGGTGACAACAAAGGGACAGCCGTGATGTCACAGGGACATCTATGACATGACAGAGGTCTGGTGAAAACACAGACACCAGTGACATCACAGGAACATGGTGGCACTGTTGGGGACAGTGGCGACATCACAGGGACAGCAGTGACATCATTGAGGACCAGTGATATCAGAGGGGACTGGTGACAACAAAGTGGTAGCCGTGATGTCACATGGACATCAGTGACATCATTGGGGACAGTGATGACTTTGAAAGGGCAGGAGTGACATCACAGAGACAGCAGTGACATCACAGTAGACAGCGGTGACATCATAGGGACAGTTGTGACATCACTGGGGACACAGGGACCACCCTGGGGACAGTAGTGTCATCCCAGAGGACAGTGGTGACACCCATGAGGACAGTAGTGACATCACATGAGACCACTGACATCACAGGGCATTGGTGACATCACAGGGACATCAGTGACATCAGAGGGACAGTGGTGACATCATAGGGACAGCGGTGACATCATTGGGGACATTGATGACATCAGAGGGGGCAGTGGTGACATCACATAACACCAGTGACGTCACAGGGGTCTGGTGACATCATAGGGACATCAGTGGCATCACAGGGACATGGTGCTACCATTTACACAGTAGTGACATCACAGGGACAGTAGTGACATTTTGAGGAAACAGGGATCACCCTTGGGGACAGCAGTGACATCACATGGGACAGTGGTGACATCCGTGGAGACAGCAGTGACATCACTGGAGAGTGCTGACATCACAGGGATAGTAGTGACATCAAAGGGACAGCGATGAGGTGACAGGGACAGCAGTTGGGCACATTGGTGACATCTCATGGGACAGCAGTGGCATCACTGGAGACCAGTGATGTCACTGGGGACAGCGGTGACATCACAGGGACAGCAATGATATCATTGGGGATGTCAGTGAGATCAGAGGGACAGTGGTGACATCATTGGGGACACTGGAGACACCCCTGGGGACACCGGGGACACCCCTGGGGAAACCAATGACATCACAGGGACATCACTGACATCACTGGGGATGAGTGACATTGCTGGGGAGAGCGGTGACATCACCGGGGACAGTGGTGACATCACTGAGGACAGCAGTGACATCACTGCAGACCAGTGATATCACAACTGTCTGGTGACATCACAGGGACTGCAATGACATCAGTTGGACAGCTGTGACATCATTGGGAACACCAGTGACATCCCAGGGACAGTGGTGACATCACTGGGGATGTTGGGGATGTTTGGGGGCCTTTGGGAGGGCACCTGCCTGGGGGGTTTTCATGTGAGCACGGACGACTCAGCACACCAATGTGATGATCAGAGAGCGCTGTTGATTGAAATCAAGCAGCAGTCTTTGATACAGTTTTCTAACAATACTCTTCTATCAGCTTTGTTTCTTTAACATTCTTTATGTCCTTTCCCACTCTGATAGCCGGTACTGAGACCCTATTTGTATTTCTAGTTTTGCTACTGCTTCTCTTGGTAGATCTTTCACATCCTGGGACCATCAGAAGGTCATCACAACAACAGATCATGTTTTCACAATTGAAACATAAGGTTATGTTCTCACAGCTGCCATATCCTCTATATTAGCGCTAAAAATCCCTACACTTCCCCCTTTTTCTTTAAACAAAGCAGACGCAGTTTGAGCCAATATGCTGCAAAAACATTGAACCAGACATGGCAGAAAAATACACACTCCTGGAAGCAGAAAGACAACGGGTGCCAACCATTGTACAATTTGCATAAGTTGATTCTGGGGGGGCTTTGGGAGGGCACCTGCCCTTCAACACCAGGACTGCAGAGAACTGGGAAGCTTTACTGGGAGCACTGGGAGCAGGCGGCTGGTGTGAGAACAAAAGCAGGGCCAGGGGAACACACGACCCCCCAAACTCTGGGTGGGGATGGACTGGGGGATCCCAGCTGGGCCCGAGGCCACGGGGAGGGGCTGCAGCCGCCGTCGACTCAGGCGCTCTGTGGAGAGAGAAAAGGGGTGACAGCAGGCTGGGGGGGCTCACATGCTCTGGGGAAGGGGGGACACGGCCCCCGGGGACCCCCCTTTACCTTCTCCCGCAGGTAGAAGCCGAGCCCCAGCACCAGGAAGACCAAACCCAACACGAAGCCCCCGACCCCCACCAGGATCTTGCTGCAGACGATGTCCTGTGGCATCTCTGGGGAGAACCGGGGGGGGGCTCAGGACCCCCAAAACCTCCCATAGACCACCCGGGACCCCCTGAAAACCCTGCCCTGGTCTCCCCAAGCCCACCCAGCATCCCCTGAAACCTCCTGCCAGTCCCTTCCTAGCCCCTCTAGGATCCCACAAAGCCCCTCCCATCCCCTTTAAGAGCCTCCAATCCCCCTCCCATCATCCCCAGGACCCCCCTGAACCTCTCCCAGTCCCTTTCCAGCCCCCCAGCACTTCCCCAACCCCCTTCCAGTCACCCCAAGACCCCCCAGACTCCCTCCCATCTCTCCTAGGCTCCCCCAAACTCCCTCGCAGTCACCCCCACGACTCCCCACAGCCCCTCTCAGCCCTCCCAGGACCCCCCAACCTCCTCCTCAGCCTCTCCATTGCCCCCCAAAGTGCCTTCCAGTGTCCCCAGTGCACCCTCAGACCCCCGACCCCCCTGCCAGTGTCTCCCCATGCTGGGGGGGCTGGGCCGTACCCCACTGCTGGCTGAGGGGGTGCTCCAGGCTGACGTGCTCCACCTGGCAGGGGGAGGTGACCCCGCGCCGGGGGGGGATTTCCAGCATCACCAGCACCTGGTAGGTCCAGTCCCCATTGGGGACCACGTCGGTGGCCACCACGTGCTCCGGCAGCTCCTGCCCATCCTGGAACCACCTCACCTGCACCGGCGCAGGGTAGAAATCCATCACGGAGCAGAGCAGGCGGCCAGGGCCGGGCTGGGAGCTCGAGGGCACCAGCAAGATGGACACGCTGGGGGGCACTGGGAGAGAGACGGGGGAGACACTGGGCTGAGCTGGGGGGCACTGGGAGAGATGGGGGAGACACTGGGCTGAGCTGGGGGGTCACTGGGAGAGAGGGGAGAGGGCTTGTACGACATTGGTAGGGGGTTGGATGGCGCTGGGAGGGACTGGGAATGGACTGGGGGGGTCAGTGGGGGAGAGTTGGGAGATGTGGGAGTGAACTGAGAAGGACTGGGAATGGACGGAGAGGGTGTGACAGTGGAGTGAGAGGGACTAGGAATGACTGGAAGGGACTGGGAACGCACTGGAATGACTGGGTAGGAACCGAGTGTGATTGGGAGGCTGTGTCCTGTAAAGGGAACTCTGCGCTTCGGGTCTGCCCGGCAACTAATGAGTCATCCTAAGACAAACTCTGATTTGCTGAAGGCAGGGAGGGCGGTGGCAGCAGCGGGGTGGAGACGCGGGGGGCATTGGGAGAGACTGGGATAGACTACGGACACTGGAAAGGAATGGGATGGATTCCAATGGAATGGGGGGCACTGGGAGAGACTGGGATGGACTCGGGGGGTATCGGAAGAGGCTGGGATGGACTGGGGAGCACTGGGATAAGCACAGGGAGGGCTGAGGGGTCTGGGGTGATTCCCAGGGAGGGTTTGAGGGGCTCCAGGGTCATTCCCGAGGCAGGGAAATTTCCGAGTGGACCCGCTCTGCCCCTCGCTCACCTCTCCTCTCCACGCTGAACGGGGTGAACACCTTGTAGTTGTGCCGGCAGAACGTGTCCACCTGAGCCCGAAAGTAGTCCAGCCTTTCCTGTATTCTGTTCCAGTACCTGGCCTGGAACTCCCCATACGGGGTGTCCCCCACATAGACCCCCACATCGCTGTCAAAGTGCATGTACTGCTGCCGGTTGTAGATGAGCCTCTCCACGAACCTCACCCGCTCGGTGCCATTGATGAAGTGACACTCGTGCTTTGCCATGTCCTCGAACACCCCTGTGTGTGCAGGACACGGGTCAGGGGGTGCCCCGTCGCCCCCCATCATCCCCCAGCCCCCCACAGCAGGTTGGGAGCTCAGGGGGCCACCCTGGACCCCTCTTTCCCACCCCCCTCTGCCCCACGGCCCCCGCAGCACCGGCTTTTGGACAGGGGGGTTGGGGACCCCCCAGTGCAGATCCGACCCCACCTCCAGAGCCTCAGGGAACCGCTGCAGGGCTCCAGTGATGGGGGACACCAAGGGACCCCCATGGTACCCCTCTTCCTGCTCTCCCACCCCCCTTTTCCCCCTCTCTCACTGTACCCCCAGTCCCCAGACCCTCCCGCGCTCAGTTTGGGGCTCCCACCCCCTCGCACTCACTTTTGGGAGTCCTATCCCCTCTTTTCTCTCCGCTTTCCCCCTTTCCCGCCCCCTCCCCCCGCTCACCCGAGAGCTCCTCGCCCGCAGCCGGGGGGGCTCCCAGCACCACCAGTACCACCAGTACGGTCCCAGCTCCCCGCACACGCTCCATCCCAGCGCCAGGTAGGTGCTGACACCCCAAAACCAGCCGGACAAAGCCGTTTTTGGGCTGTTTTGGACACGCTCTGATTGGCTGAGCGCAAAGTTGGGAGCCTATTTTGCGTCGCGTCTTCCCGGTAACTGATGAGTCATCAGCGAGGCGCGCTCTGATTGTCCACAGTTCGCGTCGGTGCTCTCTGATTGGCTGAAGGCCTTTAAGGGCGCTGCAGCCCCAGGTGGGGGGTTCTGGGGGGTCTGTGGGATGCGGGACAGGTGGGAGCTCAGGGGAACCCACAAATGGGCGTTCAGGGGTCCCACAGCTCCACTGAACCCAAAAACGGCGATCCGGCTGTCCCGGAGCTCCGACGGGCCCCCAAAACTGAGTCGAGAGGGTTCTCTGATTGGCTGAGTTCGGTGAGGGCTCAGTTTGGGACGGGTCTGCCCGGCAACTGGTGACGCCTCAGCTGCGATCGCTCCCATTGGCTACTGCTGCTTGGGCAGACTCTGCCCGCGGCTTGGGGGGGTCCAAGGTGGGTTTTGGGGGGTCCCGGATTGCTGTAGTTTAGCTTTGTGGTGCCCTGGATACGTGGGACTTTAGGGGCCGATGTTGCCTAAACCTCATCCTGTTCCCAGGATTTTCGGAGTTCTCTCCCCAATAATTAGGACTGCAGAGAACTGGGAAGCTTTACTGGGAGCACTGGGAGCAGCAGGCGGCTGGTGTGAGAGCAAAAGCAGGGCCGGGAGGGACACACGACCCCCCCAAACTTCGGGTCGGGATGGACTTGGGGGTCCCCACTGGGCCCGAGGCCCTGGGGAGGGGCTGTGGCCGCCGGCGGCTCAGGAGCTCTGTGGGGAGAGAAATGGGGGTGACAGCAGGCTGGGGGGCAGGGGGGACACTGGGATACATCCAGAGCTGGACTGGATCCAGCGGGACCAGAACTGGGGCAACTGGGTTCATAGTGAGATCAGACTAGGATCATACTGGGAGCAGCTGGTTCTATGCTAGGGATAACTGGGAGCTCTTAGGATCCCACTGGGAAGAACTGGGAGCAAGTGGGACCATGCTGGGCACAACTGGGATCATTTGGGGAGCAACCGGGTCCACAGTGAAGGTGACTGGGATCATGCTGGGAGCGACTAGGACCCCATTAGGGGTGACTGGGAGTGGCTGTGAGCAACTGGGATCATGCTGGAAGCTACTGGGAGAAACTGGGAGTGTGTGGAACCACACTAGGGGCAACTGGGATATACTGGGAGAGACCAGGAGTGACTGGGAGCATACTGGGACTGACTGGGATCAGGCTGAAGTCGACTGGGATATACTGGGAGAGACTGGGAGTGACAGGGATCCTACTGGGAGGGACTGGAACTGTAGTGGATGAGTGGGACCAATTGGACCCTGCTGGGGGCAAATGGCTTTATACTGGGAGTGACAGGGAATGTCTGGGTTCATCCTGACTGTGACTGCCACCATAGAGGTGTCACTGGGATCCTACTGGAGTCATACTGGGAGGGACTGGAACTAAAGTGAAGTGACTGGGAGCAACTGGGACCATGCAGGGGGTAACTTGGATCCTACTAAGAAAGACTGGGATCATACTGGGACTGACTGAGAGCATGCTGGAGGCAACGGGGCTATACTGGGAGTGGCTGGGAGTGACTGGGATCATTCTGGGAATGACTGGGATCATTCTGGGAATGACTGGGATCATTCTGGGAGTGACTGGAACCACAGTAGGGGTGAAGGGGAGCAACTGGAAGCCTGCTGGGGGCAACTGGGATCATAGTGGGAGTGACTGTAAGGGACCAGGATCAAACTGGGAGTTACTGGAACTATGCAGGGGGGAACTGGGAGACAGTGGGACCATGATGGAAGCCAACTAGGAACATTCTTGGAGCAACTGAGATCATGCTGGAAAGCAACTGGGAGTAACTGGGAGTGACAGGGTGCATGCTGAAGGCAACTGGCATGAACTGGGAGTGACTGGGATCACACTGATGGGAACTGGGACCATCCTGGGGCAAGTGGAAGTCACTGGGTGTCGTGGGTTTCTGTGGGTGGGTTTTGGTAGCAGGGGGTGCTCCAGGAGTGGCTTCTGTTGGAAGCTGACAGAAGCATCCCCTGCCCCATGGAGCCAATGCCAGCTGCTCCAGGACGGACTTGGTGCCGCTGGCCAAGGCCGAGCCCATCAGGAGCAACAGGAACAGCTCTGGGATAACAGATTTAGGGCCAGAAGGACTCACTGGAGAGGTCCATCCAGGACTGTCTCCCATGGGAGGGACCCCACAGGAGCAGGGAAGGATCCAACTCCTCTCCCTGAGCAGTGACAGAAACAACAACTGACTGTAACCCCCATTGCCGTCCCCCTGCACCGCTGGGGGGAGGAGGGAGAACATAGAAGGATGGGTGTGGGGAAGTTGTTTTTCAGACTGTTTTATTTCTCACTCTTTGGCTTTTCTCCTGACAGTAATAAGTTTAAGTACTATCCCTACTTTGAGTCTGGTTTGCCCCCTAGTAAGGGACTTTTTCAACACCCTTATCTCTACTCAGGAATCCTCAGCTGTTTTTTTTCTCTTCTCTGTGGAGTTGCAGAGGGAGGGGGAGGTAGCAGCTTTTAGTGGGTTGCTTGAAATCCAGCCAGGGTCCACCCACTAAACCAACCCATGTGCTTGAGGCCCTTTTGTGATGTCACAGCCTACCATCTCCATTCTGGAATAGCCCTTGGCAACCAAAAAACCAACACCCCACAAAGTCAGAATGCAGCCCCACCACTGTGCCCCTTTATGATGTCCCGGCCCATCCTCTCCATTCTGGAATAGCCCCTGGAAACCAAAGAACCAACGCCCCACACCCCCACAGTGCAGCCCCACCCATCTGCCATGGGACTCTTTGGGAAGTCACGGCCTTTCCCCCAGGAAAGAAAGCCTGTAACCTTCGGGTTTCAGGTGCAGTTGGTGGGCCACCCTGGGAACTCCATGGGCAGCAAGAGCTTTCTGTCCTGCCACCTTTTTTCTAGCAGGAATCTTTGTCCACATTCAAATTTGGCAGTCAGACTGACAATTCCAGTGCAGGGTTCCTGCAAGTGAACGACAGCCCTGCCCTCCAGGAAAGAAACCCCTTACCCTTGGTCTCTGTTCCTGTTCCTTCAAATCCAACCTGCAGGGTAGCTTTCTGCCATCTCTTCTCTTGGGAATTGTGAAGATAGACCTGCTCCCATGTTTAACACCTCAGGCAAAACCACCCTGTTAACACCTTTCCCAACCTTCCCCAGCCTTTCCCAAAGCCGAGATGTGGAAAGAACAAGTGCCCTTGTCCCTGGCTGTGCTGCTGTGCTGGGAGTCTCTTCCCTCCAGCTCTGCACACAGGCACTGCCCCTGCAGCTCCAGAGAAAGGCTGAAGAAGCATCTTCAACACAGAAATCAGGGCAGGTGTATCAGGGATTTTTGATATGTTTTGGTCTGTGTTTGGCCCAGCCACCTGCAAAAGTTTTGTTCTTTGCCTGCCAAGTTCACTGATAAACGGGAGCTTCGTCCTCGGAGAGAGAGTGTCTTGTATAAACTGTTTTAATTGGTGCTCTGTGATTGGCTGGTTTTCTGTAGGGAATATTTGAAGGAGAAACTGAAGAGGAGAGGATGAAGTAAAGCCCCCAGACCCAAATAGATCAGACCCCTTGAGTGAAGCAGCGCAAGTGCGAGGGGAATCCCCACGTTCTCCCGCATGGCTGAAGGGGGGCACTCACAGAACGGGGGAGGGACCGAGGGCCTCTGGCTGGGCGGTGCTGCCACACCGGCCCAGGGAGACGTCACTGGCTCAGTGAATAAAAATGCAGGTGGCTCGTGCTCGGGGCTCTCAAGCTTCACAGGAAGGACAACGTTACCTTTTGTGGAGACGCCACTATCTTTGTGAGCCTGCTGACCCTCCGAGGATGCAGCCTCTGCTGTGGGGAATTCTGGTTATCCTGGTGTCGTGGATTTGCCCTGGCTCAATTTACTTTTTCACCTTCACAAAGAATTATTATCAGTTGAGAGAAGGTTTATGCAGACAAAAAGAGACTGAATTGAAAAAAAAAAAAAGTATGAGTATTTATTATTAACAAGCTAAAACTAAAGAATTATATTTACAACAATTTTACTTAAGTAAAAGGTATTATGTATTTACAGAAGATACTTCTCCCCCCACCTCCCTTTATATCAGTCCAAGGAGGAGAAGCAGTCCTTTTCTGTTCTTGGAATTCCAGCTCTCTCTCTCTCTCTCTCTCTCTCTCTCTCTCTCTCTCTCTCTCCAGTAACTCTGCAGCACTTTTGTAGCAGCTGGAACTCCTTCATCTCTCTCTCATTATGTGTTGGCCTCCAGGGCTGGGTCTACCCCCCTCCTGGGCTAAAACCGAAGGATGGGGGTTACCCAGGTCTTGAAGGGTCTCCTTCCATAGGCTTGCAAGGGGACACTTGCTTATTATGGATTTTCTTCCACAGGGTTACAGGGGATAATGGTTTAAGAGTTCACCCCTGTTTCCCTATGGAGGTCCCTCCCCATGGGAGAACAGTCTTTGACTGACTTCTCGGCATGGGTCTAGTCTGGATCCCTTACTTGGATCCCAATATCCCACCTGAGCCATCTTCTGCTCCAGTGTAGGTTCTCATCCCCCTCAGGGTCATAAATCTTCAATATCCCTACCCGAACCGTTTTCTGTTCCAGTGTAGGTCCTCATCCCCCTCAGGGTTATAAATCTTTAACAGTAGCAGCATGGATCTTTCACTGAGATCCCAACATCTCACCTGAGCCGTTTCTTGCTCCAGCGTGAGGTTTTCCTCAGGGTCACAAATCTCCAGCACCAGCAGCATGGATCTCACACATGGATCCCAACATCCCTACCCGAACCGTTTCTCTGTTCCAGCGTAGGTTCTTATCCCCCTCAGGGTCACAAAGTCTTTAACAGGACTCTGCCTCATGCGAGCCGCTTCTGCTCCAGCATAAGGCTTTCTCTCCCTGTTAAAGTCACAAATCTCTGGTGC